ATGACGTATTGACACAAATTTCAAATGATTTTCAACGCTCGCTTTGTCGCGTCCAGTGTATTAGACAGACTTTAGCTGTTGCGGCACAGACACGGTGTTACTCACCTATCGAGAAGAAACAAAGCAACCTCGGCGTCCGATCGCAGGCCTTCCGCTCCTTGAGTTCTCTCCAGCACTGGAAAGCTGATTCGATATTTACACGGGTCCTACTTCTTGCCTTAAGCCTTCGTTTGTTCAGCAGACGGTTTCCTCTTTTGTTTTTTATCCGCCATCTCTATCTTTCCGTCACTCGGCTCAGCTAATGTCCGTCCTGTGCACTGAACTCTCTCTCCTCCACATCATGAGTAGACACGCCCCTTACTGCTGATTGGCTACAAGTTTGTTTTGCTATTCGGCCCGAATCAGTTTTCTAAAGCGTTTTTGAAAAATCGCTTACCCCACCTTTAAAGTTGTCCAAATTAAGTTATTAGCAATGCATACTACTAATCAAAAATTAAGTTTTCATATATTTACGGTAGGAAAAGATATTTTCATGGAACATGATCTACTTAATATTCTAATGATTTTGGCATAACAGAAAAATCGATAATTTTGACCCATACAGTGTATTTTTGGCTATTGCTATAAATATACCTGTGCTACTTAAGACTGCTTTTGTGCTCCAGGGTCACATATAATGAAAAATATAAATAAATGTTATATGAATAATATAATATTTTAATAGAAATATTATATAAGTATAAAATAAATACAAAAGTAATACTGTACAATCTAAAAAAAAATAAATAAATGTTTGGAGACAGAACATTTTATTTTATGTACAACGTCAGCGAGAACTGCATACATGCATTTTTATTGGCAAATTTTAGTATACATAAATGCAAGTACGGTGATTATAAACCATTATTTCTAATTTTGAAATCAGAAGTTAAACAATACCTAATATCTATTTATAATCTGATATACAAGAACGCTGTTAAGTGTATTAATGCATGTAAACATTTCCATGTTTTTATTTAAATTTGTCTTTTTTTCTTTTTCTTTTTTTACATTTCATTGTAATTTTGTATCTTTCTTTCCTTGTCTTCACCCCCTGGCTAATGTAATATATTGCATGTGAATGATTCAAAAAATAAAATGTGAATGAAAAAAAAAACATGTATTTTTTTTATTAATGTTGTATGCACATTAACGTAAATAATGGAGAACTGAGAAAGAGAAACAGAAAGAAACAGAAAGAGCTTTATATACCAATTTACTATATATAATGAATACAATTTAATATAAATGATATAATATTGTTATATAAATACAAAATAAAACTTCACGGTCTAATAGAAAAATAAATAAAAATGTTTGGAGACAGAACATTTTATTTTATGTACAAGAATATTAATAATTGTATAATATATGCTTTTTCTTTTTTGTTACCCATGGATATAAGCTTTATCGCTGTAAGGTTTATTAATATTTTTAAAAAATCCCATTGCGGGTTTCCAAACAACGCCTGCAGGAGCTAATTAATATTAGCCTTGTAATAATAAACCAAGCCTTGTCATTGGGTGGTCGGCTAGCAACGTCAGCCTGCGCTTATTAATATCAATGAGCTGAACCTTCGCAATAGTAGGATTTGTAGTTTCGTCTCCAGCACCAGCCATTCAGCCGCTGCCAGTGGGACGGAGGAGGAACCCTCTCGAGGTCACACCGGGACCCGTTTTTACCGGACGCCCCCCCGCCCCGTCCTCCTCCTCTTCCTGGCTTTGTCGCTCCCCAGGCTTTTGTTGGTCTCGCTACATATGAATGATAAATGCTTTATGGACCTCCCACCGACCGAAAAGAGGCCTCATATTCACATACAGCACCAGAAATCACTTATTATGCGTCAAATGATAATAAAAGCACCAGCTGCAGTGAGTTTCCCCGCCTCTATCCCGGGACAGATTGAGGATTTGGGGCCCTTTGTCTTATTTAATGAATGCAGAAATGCTATACACAAAACAAAGGACACAAGAATAATAATAGGCTACTACTAAGACTCAAACTACCCTTTGAACAACAACCTCTAGTCTATCAAAGTCACAAACTTGGGGAATAATTTGTATAAACTTATTCCATGCATCTTTTGATTAGACGACAAAGAGTGTATAGTTTATAAGGACTTCACATATAAGGTTGCAGGATGTCTCCCTCTAATGTTCAAAACATAAAACTGAAGCTTCATAATAAAACGTGACAAATACAGTTTTATACATTTATATAAAAAAATATTATTCAATTATTAAAATTACACCACATTATTATTATTATTATTATTACTATTATTATTTGTAAGTTTACATTCAAATAAATAAATAAAAATTAAATAAAAATAAATGCAATTAATATATATATTAATTATATGTATGAATTAATTTCTAAATTATATAATATATAATATATAAATTAAAATTATTATTAAAATATTACTAATATTTTTATTTCACATTAATACATTTATTAAATGTTTTATATTTAAATATATTATTATTATTATTATTATTAAATTCAATGTATTTTTAATTATGTTTTTTTTTTTTTTTTTATGTAAGAAAGGTAAACAAAAGTGGGGTCATGAAAATATACCATACAGATGGATTGAATTAATTATCACCTTTAGTACACACACACACACACACACACACACACACACACACACAAACCTGAGAAGTGAAAATCAGATCCAGATCTAGCCATAAGCCTCCAACTCTGAATTTCAGGACATCTCAGATTCACAATCATATTTAAACAAAACAAAAAACAAAAACATAATTTATTTCCTGTTATTAGCAATGGCACAGTAAAAAATTATATATTTGTAAAATTATATATATAAATTTACACACATATATAAGTATATGCAAAAGTGCTATTATAGTATTTAGTTTGCAAAGGTTAAGTGTATAAAACGTAATTAATCTCAGCTGTTGCAGAGACAGTTTCTAAACTGCAGACCTATAGAGCTTCTAGATTAAAATGGAGACTTTAGAGAGGACTGTTAGACTAAACCCAGAATACAACAGATACTGATTGATGTGATGAGTGTAGTATCAGTATCAGTGTCTCTGTGTCAGATTTCTGTAACAGAAGCACTGCTGTCCATTGCTCTCATAAGGACGCTGACTTTCAGCCATGCAATGTGCAAATGCATCTACACGCTGATTGAAAACAAGCAGGTAAGACGCCTTGTGTTTGTCTTTCAAAACAGGTTTCAGTTTGTTTTCATACGAAGAGTTTGCATTTGAATGTGTGATTTGGTTGTGACCTGTCAATAATATCCTCAGCTGTGACTCACTCAGCAAAAACAAGACACAAGGAGCTGCAGCAGAAATGAGAATCACAGAATGAATATTGAACTATCAACAATTCATGGAGATCTATTCATAATTCTGTTCCTGAAGCTGCATAACAATGTTCATCATCATTTTACTTAATATTGAAAAATAAAACAACAGTTCAAGCCGACCTAAACTGGTTTGCTGTCTAGTCTTCCAGCCTAACCAGCTAATAACCAAAACCTGTCTAAATCAGGTTGATAGACCAGCAAACCAGCTTAGGCTTGTTTGAAATGCAAACCATTGTGTTCACTGTATAGGGCTACTTTATATTTATGTGCATTTGCTATTAATGAGCATGTAAGACTTAACCAAATTCATTTTACTGATGCTTTTACGCAAGGGTTCAGTGCAGGATGGCCGGGTCAGGAGTTGCTCTGAGGTTACACGAATTTAAGGAAAGTCAGGACACCAAAAACCATCCAACAACACACATGTATGTCCAAAGGTTTTTGAGTCTTTGACTCCTAACATTTCAAAATAAACAGCTTTCAGTTCCAGACATGGATGTTGACTGAATAAAGTGTGTAAATTAAGCAATTTAATTTGCAACCGTATTAATTTAACTTAAAATGTCAACATTGTGTAACATACGTTTCAGACAAAATTTTTGTTTTGATCAATGTTTGTTTGATCTGTTTACTGTGTTTCTCCAGTGCTCACCGGCAGGGCCGAGATGTTTTGGGACTGTATCCCGGTCAGATCGCAAGAGTGCATGCCGTCAGCTCACATCTGGACAGGTGAGAGAGAGACACAGACACAATTACAGAAGCCTACTGGTATTAAAAAAAGAGAAATTCACTTTGCATC